GGCCCCAACGCGCAGAATGGGTTGATCTTGTGCAAGAGTTGACGAATGTCCTCCACTGTGAAGACCAAGTCGGTTAGAGGCTGTTCGTAGTTTCTCCTTGACAAGAGTGGATGTGACGAGGACGCCGGGGCTGAGTATAGACACTCATAGTGTTCTCTGTAAGCCTCAGATACCACTGTTGGGTCATTTGTCGGTTCTCCATTTCTGTCTCCCAAGGAGAACGCGGATGGCTGGTTTCCGCGGCGATGTCTCACGTACTTGAACAGTACGTTTGTGTTTTTTCGAGCGAGGTCCAGAATGGTGGCTTGTTTTCGTATGTTCCATTGGCGGATTTCCGATTTACAGCGGTTCCGCATATTACGAAATGCCATCTCATCTTCTGCATCCTCTGAAGTCAACTCTTTGAAAAAGAGTTGGGACGTTTTTTCAGAAGTCGCCGAATCCTTTTTGGCATCCTGCGGTTCATCCGGGCGCGTGCTGGTTTTTTTTGGGACGAACGTCGCGTCAGCCTCGTGAACTTTCTGGACCATGGTCCTATATAGTTCTTCCACTGGAGCTGGTTTCAGTGTGATTTGTTCAAGGAAGGTGCGCATTCCTGAGAAGTCTGCCCGGCAGAAGTCTCGAAACCACATTTGAGGTTTGGGATTTCTGGCCCAATAGCAGATGGAATCAAAAGTCAACACGCAGTGGTCTCTGTGTCCCAGCGGAGCGTTAATTGTTGCCTGATCAACGAAGTGTCTTTCGTTGATGATGACCAAATCCAGGAGGGATGGTAGTTGACCTTAGCGGTATCTGGTGGGTGCAACAACATGTTGAGTCCAAGCGCTCTGTTGAACGACTTCAAACAGCGCCGCTGTAAAAAGTCCACCGGATTCGATGCACTGGAGCTCAATCCAGGAGGCCTTTGGGGCGTTGAAGTCACCTACCAGCAGGAGATGAGTGAAGTGGTAGTTGGAGGAGAGTTGCTCAAGGGTTTGTTTGAGGAACTGGTCATCTTCAGGTGGACTCGAGACGCTACGGTAGACCACACCGAGAAGGAGGGAATCGGACCCGCGCAGCGGGATTTGGACCCACAGTGCATCGCAAAAGGGTGCAGGGGTGGTGTCAGAGAAGACAATCGGGATTGGTAGGGCCGCATGTAAGTACAGAGCAACCTCATCAGCCCTCCCTCGTTTTGAGTCAGCTCGAAATATTAAGTAACCGCCTGTCGAGATCTCCGCGTCAGGGACATCTGGTGTGAGCCAGATCTCTGTGAGTGCGATTATGGACGGTTGTACAAGGCTAGCTGACTGTTTAACATCGCCGAGTTTGATGAAAAGGCTGAGGCAGTTGATGGACAAGCATTTCAACACTGTCTCTGCTGCCTCCGAGGGTGAGGAGCCGAACGTTGAAAGACCAGGGTGGTTAGCAGACTTAATAGTTGTGCACCGGGTTTGAGTCTGAGTCCAAGGCTCCAAAGGTGCCTCTGGTGTAGACTTTCCACCAATAAGAGATCGCCTTTATTCCTGGCAGGCAAGTGACTCTAGCTTTCGGCCAATCCTTTGCGAGATAGGCTTTCAACAGCAGCCGTGCCTAACTGCGATTGGTAAAGTAGTATCAGTGTGGAATGCCGCTGGCTATTCGCACAATGAGATTGATTTCTCGAAATCTACAGCATTTTCACACTTGCCACTTCATAGTGTAGAATGTCTATGTATAATGTATATGCTCCCGTATTATTGAAGATCATTTACTATGGCGATTTGTTTAAGTGAACGAATTCTCAAGGTCGGTAAACACCACCGACTGTGAATAGGTTACCTGATGATAAAAAATCG